ATAAATATCTAGCTTTTATTATGATTTTCCGGGCAATCCTTGTTGACGTATCCGTTCAGAATCTTACGTGGCACTTATGAGGCTTGTGTAGCATCAACCTTTTAAACTCTTCACTATTTTTTTGCCACAACCAACAAATTAATCAAAATTAAAATTTAGTACCAATTGAAAAAATAGGATTTTATCACCATGTTTTTATCTTCATAATCTTCATAAAAATTGAGATCTTCTCCCCCAATTGAAATATATATATATATATATATATATATATATATTTGTAGCGGTTTTTCTCTTCTCCATGGCGCGATTCTTCACGCCAAAATCGAGTTCACCCCCAACATTCTGAATACATTTACGCCCTCACCCCCAAATTTTGAAAATTGGGGCAGAACAAAGCAATTTTTGAGTGATTTTTTGGGATATGTCAGCAAGATTGGCCGGAAAATAGTTTTGAGACAAATTTACAACACATAATAAATGTTTGGTACTTATTTGCAAATATAAAAAAGTTGAGTTTTATTTGATCACATTGTGCATTGTAGATAATTTTTTAGATTTAAAGTTGCAAACTTAACAAATATCTTATGTGTTTCACAATCAATCTAAATAATTGTCATTTGGCAAAATTTATATGATAACGACATTTATGCATTGAAAATGCTCTAATTGTGTGACTATAGAACGCAGTTCATAAATATTGAATACAACACAAATTCTATGCTTTGTAATATCGTCTTCAGCTTTTCACTTGAGATTAATAAGTGGTCAATTTTACCTTATTGTAATTGTCACTTATTTTTTGTGAAAATTTTGGTGAACAAAATGTATGTTGGAATAAGTACGTCTACTTCTTCAAACGTAATTAAATAAATACTTTTTTTTACAGGAAGATATAAAAATATAAATTAGTTATTTCAATTGAAAAAAATAAAAATAAAAATCTAAGTAATACGTGGCTATTTTGGATTACATTTTAATATTAATTATAATATAATTTATATCCACATCCTTCCGCTATCTACCTTATCAAGAAAAGATTTAATTTCTAATGAAGTCCAGCCCACGCCCAAAAGCCTATCGGCTTAATTTCCAATAAAGTCCAGCCCACGTCCAATAGCCCATCAGCCCATATACAAACAAGAGGAAAGAGCAGATCAGTACACTCTCAATTTTTGTCCCACATCGAAAAACGTAATCAACTGCCGTCTCTTAATATTACACTGCCTCTACCCTTTACAGCGTCCCTTCGGCGACATCCGATAAAATTGGAACGATACAGAGAAGATTAGCATGGCCCCTGCGCAAGGATGACACGCATAAATCGAGAAATGGTCCAAATTTTTTTTTTCCCCAATTTTTTTCGTTTTTTCCCTAATCTTTTTTATGCAATCGTAATACATTCTATCTTCTATGTATTTTCGAGATTCATTTTGGGTTTTTGAGGTAATTATTCTGATTCAATTGCACATTATAGTTTCGATTTTGGGTTTTTGATGTAATCTCTGGCGCTTGTTCTGAATCTGAATTTTTTTAGGTTTTTTCCTAATATTTTTTTTTTATTATTATTCTGATTCAATCACACATTCTTTGTTTCTTTATTTCGAGATTCATCGTGGGATTGGTTTGTATCGACAAATTTCTTATCTTGAAATAGGTTGGATTTAGGGTTTTGATGTAATCTTTGGGGCTTTGTTCTGAATCTGCATTAGCTGATATCTTTGGAGTTTGTTTGAGTTTTTTAATGATAATGTTTGGTTGCTGTTGTTTTGTTTTCTTAGTATGCTTAACTAATTAAAGATAATTGTTATGACAGTAGTTGATATGTTTGATTTAGTAGGTTTCATTCCTTTAATACATTGTTATTCTTGTACATATGGGGACTGTATAACCTTACCCCTCTAATCCTGCATTGTGTTTTATGGTTTTGTTTGTATTTTCACCATCCGGTCTTCATATTGTTATATATATAACACTGGTTTAATCTCAGGTTTGTATTTTTTGTGCCATGGTAATGCAAATTGTGTTTTGCTTGTTCATCCTCTGTATTAATGGGGGCATGCCCATGTTTTCTATTGGCTTCTGGGATTTCATACTATGGGGACGATTGCAAATCCCCTAAGCCAGACGATGTTTTTCTTTTGAAATTCTGTTGTAGTGATCGTCTGGGCCTCCTGCACGGTAAGTGTGTTATATACATGCAACATTCGCCATTTACAAAAAATTTATATCTTGAAATTCATTATTCCTTTTTTGAGTTTTGCCTCTATTTATTTGTAAAAGTTGAGCACTATCGCTTGGAATTATGACTAAGTTATGCAGAGTTGATGAAGTTACTGCTGTGATGCTGTCCAAGGCAAGCAGGGCACGTTGACCGTCCGTCTCGAGATGGAGCTCCGCCGACCCCTGAGAGTGGGCCTGATCAGCCGTGGGCCGGATACCGAGCTTCTGGTCGCGAACCCAATCGAGCTGTCGGGAAAGGGCCGCCCTTTAGTTTTCCACGATATAACCCTCGCTCTCAAGTTGCTTAACAAACCAATCTTTTCGGTAATTTTTTTCTGCATATTCGTTTTCCAATATAGCTTTTCTTTCGGATTGTATATTGCAAAGAACACTCTTGTGTTTGGTCTAATCACGAGAAAGTTTTTTCGAAATTACAGATTCCTCTCGTGATTTGTCCCCTTTTCTCACTAGTATGCAATTTTGAAAATATGAATAAATGCAGAGGGAGAGTTATAAAAGTTTAAAAATACATACTTGGGAGTGTTCAAAAAGATTTTTTTTTTTTTTTTTTTTTTTTTTTTTT